CATTTGACACGGTATTGAAGAATTCAGAGGGCTGTGAAAGAAACATACTAGGGTAAGGAGGAATCGGACGGAGAACGACGCAACACTCATTTGCTACCTGAAATTAAACGATAAATGGAGGTCGCGGAACGAAATCGTGAAGTGAAATCCGTGCATCTGGTAGCGGAGGCTCCCTTATATAGTAGAGCCTTTATATACGGTATCGGCACCGCCGTCCATTATTGCTGTTCCATTAGGGACATACATTAAGCCCAGTAGGCTCACCACTCATAATCACCAACTTCTACCAATGATAAAGGCTATTAGTGATTCTTGCACGAAACATGCTGGCAGCACTTTCAAAGTGTCTGTAATAATGTTAGTACAATGAAACGATGTCTTGATTTACCACTTCAGCTTCACGACCCACAGCTGTTGGAGGTCTCTGAATTACAAGTGGTCACTGAAAACGATTTTACCATGGTCACATTGCCTATAGTTGATTAGTAACCACCGTGGAGGAAAACTGTCTAGAGCGAGTAAAGCTTTGGTGCCTTCGATCAGCAGAATTCAAAAAAAGCAGGTGGTAGATAGCGAACGCTTTCTTAGTAGCTTTTTCGTGAGGAAACCAAAAATATGAAGCTTTTTCATGCGAACTTCAGAGTGTTTCACTGAGTATTCAAGTCTTTTGCAGTCTTCTCTCCTGATACTCCAATATTGAACACATAACGTTGGTCGAAGTTGAGAGATAAGGGACTCGGATGATTTAATCCCCGACCATATTGCTTCTACAACCAGAAAATAACAGTATCAAACTTTAAGTTGTTAACTACTGAGCTATTTCACCAAAATGTCTTCATTATCATGGTATTTCCTCATTTCTTTACGAATTCCATTTAAATTAGCTGAACTAGCTCAAAAACTTAGCTGCTTTTGAAATAACTAATCCAAATCAAAGACAGACCAATGTTCCATGAAACACAAATCTGTTGAAAAATGGATTCATGTATTCCTTGAACAATCGTTGTAAGCACGCATACTTACTGCCAAATTGCTTGATGGTTCGAGTGCCGCCTCGCATTTCCTCGCTAGATCGAAAAGTCATATATATGTTATGTATGTTTCAGACGAACTGACGTATACTGTATAAATGCATACGGAGGAAAAGACAGCCACGATTAGGTTTTCAGTTTGTCTCACAATCTTGACGTACATTCAAATGTTTTCATTGTCCGAAGTAAGTGGGAAGAGGATTCGAGATTCTGTGCCTTATATTGAAGTTCAACCGCCTGTCCGTTGCATGTATAATCCAGGAATGAAAGGAAGAACGCCTCCTGACACTGTTGCTCGTTGGGAGCTCCGTTGGGATTCCCCGGACTTCCCGTCCTTTGATCGATTTTACGTCAGACGAGTGTCGAGACGATACGAATTGCATTATTCGTACGAGACGATACAAATCGCAATATTCGAATAAATGAGTGAAGAGGGCCAAACCAGACTTAATAGTTGAATCTCAAAAGTTTGTTTTACAGGTAAGTCCAGACAGATTTGATCCTGGCTTTCAAGATATTCAGGGGTGAACTGCTGGTAACGCCTCCCAGAAATTGGATGCTTCGACCAACCAACGGACGAAGAGGCGCATTCCAAATCTACAACTACAAAATGGGCAGATGGCAACAAAATATGGGACCATTCCGTTTTGTAGCAGCTGGAAATTCATGGCACTTCAAGAACTAATCTAAAAAGTCAATATCTTAGATTTGTTATCCACTGCTGATGTACCATAATGTCGTTATTGGCTGCTTTCATAGTCTGCCGGTCGGCCGGCCGGCGTGCCGGCGTGCCGGCGCGCGTGCCGGCGTGCCGGCGTGCCGGTGTGCCGGCGTGCCGGTGTGCCGGCGGAGGCAGTGCTAGGGGGGAGGAGGGAGGCAGACAGTGTAAGGCAAACAGTCCACGCCCCTTCGAAGGTTGATTGTTTTCAACCCCTCGAAGGGGCGCGGACTGTTTGCCTATCCGTCTGCCTCCCTCCTCCCCGCTAGCACTGCCTCCACGCCGGCACGCCGGCCGGCGGACTATGAAAGCAGCCATTTCTTTTGACAAGCCGTACCTCCCGAACGGATCGTTCTGTATAGTCCCGAAATCAGAACAGAAAGTAATACTCTCGATTTCTCTCCTTAAATCATGTCTATATTTGCATGGGGAGGTATTTGAAACGATCCGTTTGGGAGGTACGGCAGGTTTGCTGAACACGATCTCCGAGTCTCCTTGTGGTCAGCTTGCACTTGCCTTGCTTGTTGTTCCCACGAGAGTGGCCGGTATACCCGTGTCTCGAAGTTGCAGTAAGTGCCTATGACTCTGTATGTGGCGAGCGGTAGATTTCTGCAATGTTAGGGTCATGTGGTGCGGGCATCGTAGATGTTTGCTGCAAGCTTACGCTGATGAACACGTGTGTGATAAACACTGAGGCTGAGCCCTTTTCTTCCTATTCTTGGACTTCCCCTCTAACGCAGGCATAATAAGCTATGATCCGCCTATATTTGTGTATTGAATTCGGCGGTGTCCCATATTTTCCTCTGATATTACTGCTTTGCGCTTGCTTAGGTTCCCTGTGGTTTCCATTCCTGATGATCCGCGGATCATGCGTTTGTTATAGTGCCGATACAAAATCTCCCCCTCAAATCAAATTCAAATGCTGATATAAAATCCGATGTTGTTTCTAATCGGTCAAAAGATGAACACTATTAGAAAACCCACTCAGTTGTTAATTCGCTAAGAGGGCTTGCAGAAGCACATGCTCCTAAAGTGATAACGGATTTTTAATATGCTAAAATGAGGGGTGAGGTTGTAAACGAAGAATGAGCTTCCCAGACTTTCCGCGAAGAAATGAGCTTGAAGAAATATCCGTTTGTGAGTATTAACAACAGTTTCATTGAATAGATTGTGGTGGCAGGATCAAGTAGAGCCGTTCTTAAATGCATAACAAGCAATTCGAGCCTCTCTGTCGTTTTTGTTCAAGAAACCTATTGCGGCAACGAAAACAGCTTAGGCAGCTACTACTTTTCATTGAAGGTGGTAGTAGCAAAAGTTTTGAGAAATGCGGTATATAGTAATCACTGGTCATAGGAATCTACTGATATCCATGTCATTCCTCTCATTTATGACTACCATGAAATTCAACAGAGGTGAAATTCAGCAGTGTTTTTTAGTGTTTTTTTTTCAAAAAAAGACTACCAGCTTTGCCTTGCAAAAGAGCCTTCAATCATAGTTTGATCATCTTGTTGTTACCATGATTGTTTCATGAAATATTGAGAAGTTTATTGCCTTATCATTTGCGGATTGAACAAAGCCCAACTTTCGCATCACATTTGCACTTCTTGCACTTGCACTTGGAGCATGGTTCTCCTTTCTCGTAGATTTCCTCATCGAACCAGTTTCCTCTTGAACGTAAAACTTTATGTACCCTTTTCAAAGATAATTTATAGGACGAAAGATTGAACCATGTTTCTGTAATAACAATGGACTTACTGCTTCACGTATTGACAGCCTGCAAACGTCATAGAGTCACACCATTTCACTCCACATCCAAGTTTGGTGCTTGATTGCCAAACCATCTTGAACAGCTAGTGGTATTATCCAGGAGTGAATACCATACCTTCAAGACCTGCTCAAACCTGAGTGTAATGGCCAACGCCACGACCGAAGACCTCATCGGTGAGTATATTTGCCTGTCCAACACCCTTGTCTTTTAATTCGTCGAACCATGCGGTAGTGCTCTGAGAAGTGTTGGTGCCAAATTCATCGAGACCCTTTTACTTGGAATATTCTCACCTTTATTGCAGACACCGTCATGTTCTCCTTTGTTTTTGTCGTCATGTAAATGTTCTCTCCGACATCCTCGATAGAAGAGTGACCCCACTGACATTGATCCAACCAGCTCATCATACTTTTTTCTACAGCACAACTGTATCTCTGTAACAATCCGATGTAGCACTATCCTTGATTCCTTACAATTCACTTGAAAGGTAATCCTCTCAAGTCAACAAACCATTTTCATCATTTTTGCGGCCTTTGGTGCAAAACCTCCGAGTTTGTCTACGGCTTTTCCCCTAGCAACCAAGGATCTGCAATGTTTTACTGTCCATAGTTTATTTGCTCATCCGTGTGATGTGCGAAACGCACCTAAACTTATTGTGCATTCTGAGAAACGTCCTTCTGGCTTCATCGGTCATTCCATTGTTGAGGTTGCATATATCTAAAGATCACCAATGGATGAAAATCCACGATAATATATGGATGGATGAAATGGGTGATGAATATCCTAATCAGTGAGATCTACCGCATGTTGGTGATCGCTTACCTCCATATGCAGCCGCACTTAGAAATGCCTGAAAAACCTTCAGTGACCTGAATAGAATATCATATCTATAACGACCACTAAGAACTTCCAACTCACCAGGAACACGACTGCTGGATATGTGAACATAGTTCAGGTTGATGACGAATGCTCGCTTAGTCCTGGACGAGCTTTTATAAGGTGGATTATGAGAAGGTCCTTCCATAACTCTTCGGTGTCTCATCTGTTCAAACAGCGTAGGAGCAACGATGTCACAGAGCTATGAAAACGTTGCTCAGAATAGATTCCGCCAGTATTACTGAAAAAAAGCGATTGCTGGATATATTGCGAGCATCATGTTGTCAGGAAACATTCTCCCTTTCATTCCTGGATTTTACAAGCAACCATCAGCTGGTTGAACTCCAACGCGAGGCACAGAAACTCGCCTCTTCTTACTCTGAGCGTCTTAATCAACAGATCTCTAAACTGACAGAAAATCGTGGCACCAACCTTGCCTGAGCTATCGCTTGCTCGCACAGTGGCACTGTTTATACAGTTGAGACATCGGAAAGGCAGAGAAGATCACCTCACAAATCATCCCACCTTTGTAGGCTCTGTCAGGCATACACTTGCATACGCTCTCGAATCGAGACCTAGTAATGTCTGAGTGTTATATAGTTCGAAGCGATGTTCTCACCTAATCTCAGGCAAGTTTATTTATTTATTTATTTATTTATGCGTTCCATGACGCGCTGTATTG